GTCAATTGGCCACCACGATCGTGAGACTTGACGCCTTTAGATTTCTTCCTTTGGGGTCATCTGAAAAGTAAGGTCTATGCTAACAAGCCAAAAACAATTCAACAGCTGAAGGATGAGATAATAAGGCATATTGGGGAGCTCGAGGAGTAACTATGCAGAAACATCATCAAACATTTTGACCATCAAGTGGAGGTGTGCCGCTGAAGCCTTGGCGGACATTTGGGCGATATTATTTTTCATACATAATTGTCATGACTTAAATAACATGATCCAATAAGGAAATAAATAAATCTTCACCAATAAAACTGATTTATTTACTGCTGACTTTGATCCGTCTTAATGAAACACCCTTTATTTTCCTCGACTAACTTGACACCACACTTGATATTATAATTTTATTGTTAATAATGGTGGACAAGGAAACGTCTAGAAATACAAGTAAGCAACGTCAAACCTGGTCAGTAACGAGATGGGTGACCGCTTGGGAATACTAGGTGCTCTAAGTTTGGATGTGCAGCTGGTGTAAAAGATAATGGCTCGAAATTGTTAATTGGAGAACCGAGTTCCAATTCCCACTGAGTTTTTTATATTCACTTACGCGCAAATATACTTGAGAAAATTATGAATCCATCTCTTCTCCCCCAGCTATGGGTTAATTAGTAAGACTAGTATCACTAAATCATTATTATCTCCCCCCAAAATACTAACAATCTAAAAATATTTTCTGATTTTATATAACTTGCAATGGGTTGATAAACCGTAGAAAATGAATCTGTCAATTCCGGTTTCCACAGAACAATTTAAATGACAAAGATTTGGACTCTGTACAGTCAATCGAAAACAATCCCGCAACCTTCTTCCAGACAAAAACAACGATGTCTCTATCAAAAATGGTACCCACAAGCCTGTAGAACGTTGAGACAGCTGTTAAAATTAATGGAAACTATGTACTTGACTAGTAAACGTTTTTTGTGAATATGTAAAATTTTGTTTTAATTTTCTAATCTGACCAGAGCTTTAGCGTGATCTAATAGATTATGTGAACCACATGGTAAAACTATTGATTACTGGTTTTCCAATCTTGTATTCGAAGAAATATAGACATCGAAAACTGATAAGATTGGACAGTATATTCGTTGGGAAATATGTCAGTATTACAAAGTGATTTGTCTGTTTGTTTGCTTTGGTTTGTGGCATATCAACCTTAATGAGTTATTTAATGCCGACAATTTTTATTGTTGGTAATATGTTTTTTCTCAAAATGCATTGCTGGTAATAATTTTTACAAAGTATTTCTGGTAATAAAACCTATATATACACTTTCATAGCGCTTTGATCCCAGTTTTGGGGTTAACTATTTGCCCATAACCTAACAGTTGCTACCACCCCGGGTCAGGGTGGACCTGGGAACACCAGCAATTAAGAGGTGGTTCCACGCTCCTCAAAACCTCCTAATCAGAAGCCTTGCTGTTGGATGTAATTTATCATCATACCCATGACGCGGATGTAGTTTATCATCATACCCAGAACGCGGATGTAATTTATCGTCATACCCAGGACGCGGATGTGGTTTATCGTCATACCCAGGATGCGGATGTATTTTATCGTCATACCCAGGACGAGTATTACAAAGTGTAGAATAGGCTGAAAAATGCTATGAACATCAGACCAAACGAATCATAGAATGCCATGAAGGCACTATTGTTTGGGACTTTACCATTCTTACTAACAGACCTATAGCGATTTTCATGTGTAGCTTAGATGTGGCACAAGGTCGAAAGTAGAGTGCACCCAACGAGGATAGAACTCACTACTCAGTCGTAAGAGAGACAAGCTTGCTAACAATTACACCACCTCGATGTGCCCTACTAACAGACATATAAAAGCTAATAGACAAGACATCGTAATTAAAAACTAAAAACAAAAAAAATTCTTATAGATATGGCAGCGCTATTAAATAAAAACACATCTGTTTAAGAATCTGACAAAATAAATAAATATAAGGATTTTGAGATCGAAACTGAACAAAATACATGACACGTAAATCTAGTCATGCTCTTAATAATTGGAACCCTAGGTACGAGCAAAAAAGTTACAGACAAGAGTATTAAGAAAATCCTTGGCAGCACCATTTTACAAGAGATTCAAAAGATTGCACTGTGTGGAACTGCTCACTAATCAGGAGAATATTATCAATGTAAAGAAAATATAAAGATTCTTCATGTTAAGTATCACTTAACATCAGAATTTCTGTAAACAGAATGCATATATGTTTTACCTTGCCTTACCCGCAGTCTTGGGTAATGACTCGTTAAGTGACTGTACTAAGCGTAAAGCATAATAATAATAATTATTATTATTATTATTATTATTATAAATTATGAGGATTCTGCGATAAATATCCAGAAACAATTGATTAGCTTGTATCGGATTACACAGTGCTAGCACACACTGAATATAAAACTAGACATGATAGATTGGGCCAATAGCTGCACCTGAAGATATGCAACTTTTTTTTCAGAAAGGAAACTGCAAGAAGCAATGGGTGCTAACACCGTGCAATCTGATACAAGATATTATTATTATTATTATTATTATTATTATTATTATTATTATCTTTCGCTCGGTTTTTCGTTTTCAACCTGATATCTTGTGCTATGGGTATTCTCTATCAAGAGTCCGATAAGTGTATACCAAGCACATGCATCTCAGCCAAATATACGCAATATAGTGAAAGGTTTTGATAAAGATAGCACATAAATTTGCAGACGTTTGAAATATTTTCAGTTCGGTTCACCCAGTTCGGTCAGAAACTCCGATGAGGGATGTTTTCATTTATCTCGTCAATTATCCAAGTCAACTTGAGAGTCACATCAAGTTGGTATCATTTCAAATTATAAAAAAAATATCAAGTATTTGAAAAAAACTATAGATTGCTCATAAATTACTTTGCGTTTCAAGTACGAAAATAAAGTAAGCAAATATAGACTTCGAATGTCCCAACCTGCATTTCGTAAATACGGTAATTGAATATCCATTAATTGTGATGGTTTCAATTGGCGCACTTTGTAAGGGTCATATGCGGCTTAGGAGTGCTTCCTCTGCTGAAAAATGGAATAAAGATTTGATTTCAAATGGGAAGCACATTTTCTTTAATAGGACTTCTAGATATCTAGGCCGGTTGACATTATCTTTACTGTTTAAAATAACAGTGATTTCAACGCAAACACCTTTATATACTAAATATGTTTATTGTAATAAGAAATGCAGAAACACACATACATAAATATGAGGGGGCTGAAAAGTTCTCGGCTTGACATAATTACCAGAGTCGGGCAAAAGTCAGAATTTATTTTGGAATAGTCCTTACTTGAGACTTTTACCCTATCGTGTATTATGGTGCTTGCCAAATCTTACTCAAATGAGAGCCGCTCCCCCCCCCCCTTCGCATCACTTGTAAAGGTTTCCGTCTCGTTTCTGAGTTCATGGTCTCTAATTTGACACTCGAGACCAGCATTTGATTTCATAGGTATCATGCACGTATGACAGATATACTCTGTATCCTTGATTGGGGTGACTGAATCTACATGCTCTACAACTCTGCTGTGTACCAGCATGTTTTCTCAGTCCAGATGATGATCTGCAAACCTTGTTGCAAACAATACTGGTATTGCTAGCAGGACGATAAGGCAGTTTGACAGAGCTTGCTTCTGGTTGTTATGATGACCTTTCAGATGGCTTACATAAGCTGCCCTCAACACACAGCATGCGCTCACACTCACCACATTTCCAAGACTGCATATTAGCTAATCATAGAGTGCGCCCTATAGAGATTATGCTTGATTTGAAAATGCCTAAGACATTCATCCTCAAAGGCATTCCTTCCATTATAAACTGCTTCTACACGGTATGATTTCAAATCAGTTTTTCCCAATGTTTCATATCCATGTTCAATGCATTCAAATTATCTTTCAAATTATCTTTAAACCTCTCCCTAGGCTTGTGTTGTGGACGCTTTCCTGTTTTCCGTCCATTCTCACATATCCTGCTCGTCGCAGCTGGTTGAGGATTATTATTGTTTCAATGGTGTTGCTTTCAGATCTTTGAACGACAGCAGTGTCTGGAATCAAAGACTTCCATTTGGTGTTAAGGATGCGTGTCAGGTATTTTTGGTGGAATCGCTCAAGTCATTTTATATGCCTCTGGTATGTTTTCCATTTTTTCAGAAGAGTACAGCCGGTGTGTTAAGACACTGGCCGAATTCACACTTACTTTAACCTTGGTGGCAATGTCTCTATCTAGCCAAAATCTTTATTACAATTTATCAAATGTAACACATGCCTTCTGGCCAGCTACTCATTTCTGAATATACTCGGCTGCTAGAGCGGCTAACCGATCACTATTACAGACGTCTGCTCAGACATGTTTGTGTTTCTTCAACATCGACATGGCCTTCATGTGGTTTCTATTGCATCTATGCTATGCCAACCTTAATTACAGTTTCTGGAGAGCACATCACTTGGCGTGCTCAGTATTTTGAGCAAGGCCAGTACGTTCAAACCCTCGGTCACGATGACTTTTGACTTTGTTCTAGCCTAGCTATTAACGGTTTTCAAACAGTTCTGTCTACTCAATTTCACACGCAAGGCTTGTATCAACCTGTGGTAGAATGTGCGGCGCGTGTAATGAGTTAAATCGTAGGATATGTATCTGGGAAAATTCATGGTTATTGTCAAAGGATTGTTGATGCAATAGTTACTCGTAAAAATAATTATTCTTACAATCTAAAATATATTTCGACACAAAGGGTTGATAAGCCTTAAAAACAAATCAATCAACGCGTTGTATCGTTTTCAGGAACTTTCCTAAGGGCGTTACTCGTTGGGATGACGTCCTCTGACGAGTAACATCACCATTCTGTCAAATCGAACAGATTTGGGCCTCATGGTTGGAATTGTGAAGGTTCTAACCATTGGGCTATGCGCTTAGAATATATGAACTCTTGCCGAGATCCTATGTATGGATGCGTCGGGAGGTGGTCGTCTTCCTCTGATTCCTCTCGTTTCATTTGTGGTAAGAATAAAGCTACAACGAGAAAAGAAAACCGAAACAACAAACGAAGAGAAAACTTCGAGCAAGGGGAAGAAGCAAAGAGAAGGGGAAAAAAGGCCAAAGGGCAAGACATCGAGGAGAAAGAGAAGTGTTCTTGAAATACCATTGATGTTGAATCCATTAGAAATTTCGTATACATCGCATTTCCCCACTCAACTTCGTCTCATCTTTCATTTCAATTCGTCAAGAAATATCCATTCGACTGAATAAAAGATTCAGTTGTTGTAAATATAATCCTTTTTACTTATTTCATACAGCTGCATGTGCCTAACGCAAATATATTATGCATATACATATATAAACTAAACACTAAACCTATTCGTTTATATATATATATATATATATATATATATATATATATATATATATATATATATATATATTTATTCGAAAATTACAACATAAATATGTTATAAAATCACTACAAAAATAGATATTTTGTTTAAACACTTCTGGTGTCTTATCAAGTGTTAGTGTAGAATGTAATGATTTTACAACATATTTATGTTAATTTTTTTTAATAAATTATATATGCTGTACTCTTTTAAGAATAGTATTTTTGTTATTGGAATTTAGTCCGTATACACCAATGCTATACTTGGGTATATATATATATATATATATATATATATATATATATATATATATATATATATATATATATATATATATATACATTTAGACAGCATATCTTCATTCAAGCAGGTTTGGTTGAATAATCTAGACATATTATATCTATTTGTTTTTATTTTTATCCTCTTGAATTCTTCTTAATGTTGATATTAAATTCATTAAGGAAGGAGCCATAGTTTTCTTTCATTTCTTTTATTTCACCAAGTACTTTCAATCATTCGAGATCTTGTTCAGCGTGTATATATATATATATATATAAAACGAATAATTTTTATTATGAAATAAACATACTGTTCACTAATGTAAAAATATATATATATATATATATATATATATATATATATATATAAGATAATCCTAAGGAGCCAGAAAACCTAGGTAGGATTATCTTAGGTGTTGCGCTACTTCGTGTATTGAACACTTTACGTAGTTGCCTTTTACTCGTTTGGTTTTTTTTTTTTTTTTTGTCTTTGGCCTTTGAGCTTGAACTCAAGTCGATTGTTTCGCCTTAGTTTAATTTTTCCCTGGGTACCGATTTGTCCTACTATACAAGGTTTTTCCAAGCGAGTAGCACCATTAATATATATATATATATATATATATATATATATATATATATATATATATATATATATATATAAATATAAAGTTTTGCCACTCGTATTCGAGGATATCCGTATACAAGGGCGGTTAACCAATCCTTATTGCTGACGCTCGCTCAGACACAATTGTGTTTTTTCAACATCCACAGAGCCAACCTGTGGTTTATATTGCAACTATGCTGTAACTTGCAATTCCTGGGAGAGAGCGTGTTATCTAGCGTGATCAACAATCTGAACAACACCAGCACACTCAACCGCTCGGTCACGATGACTTGTGACTTCGTGCTAGCACAGCTATCGACGGTCCCCAACTGTTCCGTCTACCCAATTTATATATATATATATATATATATATATAACACTGTAGGTATATATATATATATATATATATATATATATATATATATATATATATATATATATCTTATATATATATATATACACAGTATGTATACACACACACACACACACACATATATATATATATATATATATATATAGAGAGAGAGAGAGAGAGAGATTTTATTACTTAAACGCTATTTTTTAGTGTATATTCATATTTGAGTAGATACTCTGTTTATTTATTAAACTATATTTTTTATTTTCATCTACCGCGCTGAATATTCGAGAAATCTTATTAAAAAATATGCGCTCTCCGTCAGGATTCAAACCTACGTTCCTCTAGGGGAAACCGTCATTTGATCTGTGGTCTGACCTCTTGACTACAGAGAACCTGGTGGACAAATTTTTGTCCATTTTATTGATTAGGAAGAAATCCGAGCATGCATGTTTAGGCTTTGTCTATAAATTTGGTGTGGCAGAGTTTAGCAATCATCCCCCGAGATTGAAACCAACGTAAATAATATAATTATCTGTGTCCCTTAGAGGCTCAGAAAATGTTGGATAGATTTCAACCACCCTTTGCATGGAGATAGTCTATGACCCAGGGAATGCTATATGCTGTGTAATGTTAACTTAGGTCAAACATGAAGGTCATGAAAAATCAAAAATATGTTCAAAGGAATATCTTTTCATAGAAGTTAAGGGGTGGGGGAATCAGATTTTGTTAGTAAGTTAATATGTGGTTATTATACTCAATAATTTTAATAATCTACATCAATAAAAGAGGAGGCACGCTGGAGTAATGGCTAGCGACTCGGATTGAGAAATCGGAGAGCCGAATTCGAATTCCAGTTAAATCCATTACTTTCATTTACGTCCCTTGGGAAAGGGTATGAATCCTCTTCTTCTCCCCCCCCCACCAGCTATGGGTAAATAGCAGGACAGACTGGGTTCTATAGCTTTGGATGGCAACTAGTCTACCGCAGAAAGAAATGCCAACCTACTACGGGAAAAGATCTGCCTCGTCAGTTATGTATCGAAAGATACATGATCGCCTAAGCGTGTATCACGCATGGCACATAACTGACTGACTGATATAAATAAAACGAAAGTCTACTAGTCTGTTTTTTTATTTGCACAAAAGAAGCAACGTCGTACATTTCTAATAGTATAACTGAATCGATTCAATTTTACAATTATCCTTCAAGGCATTTTTACAAACGTTTGGGAATATTTTTGTATGCACTACTTACAGATGAACTATTGTCTTCATCTTTGTTGTTATTATCACAACCTTATGGTTGTTGTGTCCCAGACCGCCTAGCGGCATTCGTTGGGTGCTTGTCTATCCGAGTAGCCTTCACGGAACTTCGGACGGAAGTCTTTATTTAAATATACGGAGTTATAATATTCTCATTACGCTGATCATATGTAGTTCTATAGATTGAACTCACAATTACTATATCACCAAGTTCACGAACCAACTTTAATCGACTTTTCTGTTTGTCATGTGGGACAATCCTGAGTGTAGAACTTGGAGTCTTAAACCTAATCTTCCTACTGCTATAACTTTTGCTTCTGATGATGATAATTATCATGGTTGACTGCATTCACCGAGATTTTTTTTTTTTTTTTACTGCTGCTGTTATTGTTGAAGACCTAGTGTCATTTCTCTGTCAAGATTTAGTATGTTAGAAAGTTTTCCAAACTACATACAAAACGTGGTGGAATAACAACTATAATAAATTCTAAAATTATTATAAAAAAAGGCAACATTACCAACCAAGAGGTCGTCCTTCATTTCGTGTAGAACTAATACGTTATGCCTTACTACTGCGCTAAACATCTCAACAAACCTACAAATTACTTCTGGAGTGATTTCTATTAACATCTTTTTTTATTAGAGAACATTTTTAAAAAAAGAAATGAACGTTTTCAATGTGGAATTATTTCCATGGTCATGGTAGGCAATGATAGTGATGATGTTACAAAGAAGCAGTACTTTGACTTACTTTCTTGATGTCTTACGGTTCCGTCAAGCCAAATAACAGAGTTTGTGCTTGTTTTGCTGTACTTGACTATGCAGATAAATTTATTGTAAAACATAATGAATCCATTACAAGAGAGTCTGCTCAAAGAATTTTTGAAACTTATTCTCCAAAATATGTTTTTACTTCTGAACAACACACTGAAAAAAGAATTCACTTTATAGCAAAAATTATTGTGAATATATATTACAACAAAAAAATAAAAGTTTTCATTGGATGAAGTTCAAAAACATATTGTAGAATGTTTTTAAAAAAGGAGAATGTCAAAAGAAAATTGATTTATAGAGAAACGGTTGGTAAGTTTTTTTTGTATTTATTTTGTATTACTGCTTAATTCTTTAATAACTTTTTGTTTGTCTACAATCTTTTAAAATTTCTTTTCTGCTTAAAAAGAGAACAAAAACAACCTGTTTGTGTATTTTTGGACGGTTTTAACATGTTTTAATTAAAACAGGCATAAATTAACTCCAAACCAAATAGGCCTGTTAGAAATTAGCCTGAAATATGACATGTGGGGCCGGATATATTAGTGGTCAGTGCAGTACTCCATTTTAGGCCTAATTTGCACTTTCTCCTGCATTTCTACAATAACTTTATTCAGTAACCCACTACGTTGCTCTTTGTTCTTGTATTGGATAAAAAAAATATTGAGAAAATATGTTTTCTTTTTTTTTTAAAAAAAAAAAAAAAAAGGTAAAAATGCAACTGAAACACAGAAAAAAAGACTTGTGGAATTAGTTGATTTTGTTTAGCGACATATCAACACCTCTATGGGTTATTTAATGCCGAAATCTAAATATTTTAAACACAGCCTTATGGCTTCAACTACAAATAAATAGGTATTGTTGGTAATTTTTTTATAAAAATGGGTTGCTGGTATTTTTATATAAAAAATTACCTAAGTTAAGTCTTTTTTTCTGCATTTGAGTTGCATTTTTACCTTTTTTTTAAAAAAAAAACATGTATTTTCTTAATATTTTTTTTAATTGCTGGTATTTTTAATATAAAAATGTACTTTTATATTTTTATAGTTTTTTTGTTTTTCTTTGTGAGTTCCCTATTTACCTATAGCTGGGACCCAAACCGGTGCTACAACCGAGGAATCAGGGTGGACCTGGAAACAATAGCAAGCGTTGGTTCTGCACCCCTCAACACATCCAATCTCCCAAACAGAAGCCTTGCTGCCTAATGTATTTTATCGTCATACCCAGAAAATCTCGTTCAATTAATGGCAAATATACTGGAAATGAAGCAATGTGAGATTTACACATAATTAATCAAACGTATCTGAGATTTTATGAAGAAGCTACTGTGAGTGGTTGCAAGTGTTTTACAATTCATGGAGAAACAATTTGCAATGATTGAACATGTCTTGTGGTTTGTGGAGATTATCATCCTCATCATCAGTCCCCATGACCGGGTGTCATTATAGTTATACTGCGCAGCCGTGCAACTGGCCACTTCCCTC